GCGGGGGGGCGGGAGCCTGCCTGCGAGCAGCAGCAGCAGCGCCATGGAGAACGTGGAGTTGCGCGGCGGCCCGGAGAGACTGCCAGACAAAGCTCCCCGGCTCAGCGCAGCCTTTGGGGACCAGGGGCCCCTGCTGCTGATGATGGTGGACCCGAGGGGAGGGGATGGGCACAAACTGGTGGAAGTGTTGCTGACTGGAGGGGCTCCTTGGGGCTTCACGTTAAAAGGAGGAAGAGAGCACGGGGAACCTCTTATCATCACCAAGGTAAGAGACTTCTGTCTGGCACGTTCCCCCCCGTGTTTCTTCTCTTTCCTGTTGTGTGATCTCGCCTTTTCCCCCCCACCCCCTCAGGTTAACCGTAGCTTTGTAGTCGCTACCCTCCCCGAACAATAGGCTGGCATAATGAATGACAATCATGGGAACATTATACTGGTAATCGACCCTTTTCTGAGAACGGTATAGGGATCTCTTTAACAAGCGTCTCATGTCATGTGCAGACTTAGACGCTTGAAAGTTGCTTAGCAATTTTGAGAAAAGTGCATGACAAAGAGACGTTGCTGGCAGGGTGTTCTGTGTGTGTTGGTGCTTTTGCTAATGTGAATTTCAGCGTGCCAGTGAACCTAACGGGGATCTTTCTCGGCAGGAGTTTTTACTAGTTTGTTGATTTGGTGAAATACATTTGCCTGTTGCTCGTGGTTCCTGCTCAATCACATCAGGAGTTCATAATTTCTTTAAACTTACAGTAGTTCCTTTCCCAAACGGTGCAGTTCCCCTCTCGCCAATAGTGTACTGCTGATTCTTGTCTCATTTCTCCTCTTTAGCAGTGGCCTGCACCTGTAGTACAACAACCAACGTTGGGGGAAGGGAGGAGCTGGTGAGAATGTAAATAAACAAAGCAATAAACTTCCTTAACTTATTAGGCTGTTGTGTTCTGTTGCTTGTTGGAAAAGGAAACATGGGACAGATGTGCTTTAGTTGTACTTTCATGGTTTTATTTTATTCACTGCTTAGTTATTTTTTTTACAGCGAAGCATAGAATTGTATCAGAACACAACACAAATTTTCCATTATATACATCAATCCTGCTATATATATTTGACAAGATTTTGTTTGACATTTCATTGCACAGTTATGCAGGTTCAGAGAAACTCATTTACAAGGCTGTACCTAAAAGCTGTTTTTGGCCTGCAGCCTGTTAGCTTTACAGCTTTAAAAATGCTGCTGGTTTAAACTTCTTAAAAGGGTGTATTGCTTTTTATTTTCCTTTTCTCCCCATCAAAAATCTTTCCAATTATTCTGAATGACCACTGAAAATTCCACTCCCCCACATCCATAGTAGAAATCAGTTCAGGCTTTTATATTATTAAAGTTCTGACACAAGCCAGGAAAATTCGAAGTAAAGGCTAGTACTTGTTCTGATGCTGAGTTTTCCATGGGGATTTTGTTAATTTTAATTTAACATAGTATTTTGAATCTGATTTAAAGCAAAAGTTTTTGTGGAAAATGATTAAACATGTTAGAAAGACAAGATTCTGGATTTAAAAAGTGTGTTATGTATGTGTATCCTGAATTTCACTATTATAGATTGTATATTTCAGTGTATTGGGCACACATTACTTGACAAGTGTGCATTGTTATGTGTTTTCTAAGAAAATGAAAACTGTGGTATATGTTTTGACCCAAGAATTCCCTTATGTTTTTTTTAAACAAAATAAGCAATTACATCAGGGTCTAAGTGATGGTTTAAAAACCACAAAGGCAGATGTCTTGCTATGCAATTTAAAAAAAAGACCCTTCGTATTTGTGCATTACTTTAAAAAAAGTCAAAATACATTTTTTGAAGCTCTGGTATGGGAGAAACACAATTCTTGGTCTGCCTGCTCTAGGGACATTTTGCATGCCCCTATTTTAAAAGTACATAAAGAATGTGAGATGTCAGCAATTCTTGAATATCCCAGAGCAAGAACTTTTCTGTTCTTATTGTCATATTAAGTAGGGGTTTTTTCTCCCTCTGTTTAAGTGTCTGTCTACTCTGGACTTCCCAAATTGAGGCTTATCTTAACAGAACAGTGATTGTCTAGCAACTGCGTACCTTGTTTCCACCCACGTACTTTGAGTTTTAGAGCCTGAGAATTCAAAAGTTTCAGGATACCAAAGAGAAGGACTTCTCATTACTATGTTTGATTCTGACACCTGGAAACTGAAGTGATTCCTATTCTAAAGATTCTCATATTGTGCTATAGACAAGGGCATGGTGCTGCAAAGATGCACATCTATAATGCTCACTCACATAATAGGACAGTTCTCATAAGCAGAGATGCATATCAACTCAAGCATTTGGAGTCTTTGAATGTATGTCCTAAGCCTTTAGTGTTTGAAAACCAAGAAAGACCAGGACTTCCATGGCATTTTCACCTCTGTAGCTCACGAAAGAAGTTTGTGCCTAAATGTCTGCTTCTCTGTTTTTCCTTACCATACAAAGGATAACTACTACCTAAAAGGACATAACTGGCTTAAAATTCACACCATTATCTGAAAAGTAGCACCTGTGATTACTATAACAGAGCAATAGTGGAAATTGTTTACTTTTTTTCTTTTATGATTACCATGCAAAGAAGAGTAGGGAGACTCTCTGGCAGAATTAATTGCTAAAACTAAGCCTGAAGTTAATATATTTTTATTCCACCAAGCTACCAGAAAGCACTGAGGGAAAGGCATGCTGAATGGAAGAAAATCTATGTTTAAATCTCAGCAGGGAGATAAGCAGTGGAATGTTGGGTACAGGAAGTATTTTTTACTCATCCCACATGCAAAGAAAGGTCAAACTAGAATCACCTTACTAATACCCAATAACAGTACTAATAGAGCATCTCACTTAATTGGGTGATTAAGCTAATTCATTTCAATATTTCTTCTTACCATGCAAATGAAACAGAACACTCAAGAATGTAATTACCTACTTTAGAAGCACACATTTAAGTTCACACCAACTAGGGTGGTTGGTGTACATTTTTTTGCAATGAACATGAAGAAAAATGGCACATGATACAGCTTGTTCAGACCTTGAATATAGTTGGTCTTCTGAAACTCACCCAACCCGTATGCTACTGCATTGTTGACTAATACAGATATTTTTTCAGTGTCTTTTGGTTTTATTATGCTTATCTGACAATAAAACCTTACTCCTGAAAGAAAAATAAGGAATTTTCAGTCTGATTTTGCAAATCTGTACATTAAAAAGTAATAGCATTATGTTTTGTATTTCTCCCAGAGCTCTGGCCATGTTGTCTAGAGCATTCCAAAAATTTTCACAAAAGGCAACTTATTTTTATAGCAACTTGCAGAATCTTTACTTTAGCTACACCCTCACTTAAATAGTAAATAGTCTCTTCTAACTATTTAAATTTTCTTTTTTAAAATGAAGCAAGAAAACACTCAATTTGATAATGAAAACCTCAATATTGTCATGGGTAAACCTTTAGGAAAAAATCTCTTTGACAGCTAGCTAGCTTTAAATATAGATAACTTTCCCTTTTAAAATGTCTTTTTGAGAACATGCAGAAAACTTACCTGTCATTTCCAGGTTTGCTTGTGGGGGATGGGTAGAAAATATCAATATGGAATTCAGTTCATTTACAATACTAACAACATGTAAAGAATCACAAATCCTGGAATTAACATGATAACTTTATTGATAATGTATGCGAAACATTCCCAGTGTATGCTTAGATAGCATGATGCATTGTAATGCTGTTACTACTTAAAAGAATTGCTTTACCAAGTGCCTGTAGCCATAGCTCCTCAAGCTATGATCTCACTCCAAGATAATTGAGACCTCCAAGTGAAACCTGGGTTTTTGCAAGAAGTGTTGCTGATTCAGTAGATGAAACTCTTCTGTCTGAATCAGTGTTGAAGCAGAAACCCAGCTGCTGCAGATGTCATTTTTGAGATCAGGAGGAAAATCAGAGTATGACTACTTATTCCTATTAAAAATTCCATAATATTGTTCTAATGGCAGTATGTGCCTGCAGTGTTGTCTTGTTCTGTGTTTGTAAAGTGTCTACTTAGTACAATGGGCTCATAAGTGCTATAAAATACAAATAGGTGTCATGGATAAATTGCAGTTTGAGTATTTACGTTTGATGTAAAATTCCTCTGTTCTAACAAGGTTACAGCATTCTGTTTTCTGTCTCAGATTATTATAGAGAGCTATTTCATTTCAAAAGTAGCTACATTTCAGGAGTGGGAGAAGTGACTGCTGTTTTTATAAAGAATTTTTGAATCCTATAGTTTCAAAGACATAATATAAATGTAAATATTTTTTGTTTAATGGTTCAAGTATATCAGAAGTTCTTTTTCACACAATTTAATGTCTATCCATTTGTACAGAAATCTGTAGGGAACCTTTTCTGTTTGCTTGAGTATAAACCAATCATTTCATTATTTTGTACAAACTAAATATTTGACAACCTGGTTAAATGGCTCATTGATGACAATACAGCTAGGTGAAAAGATCAAGACTATATGCACAAAGGATTTGGCTTGGTTGACTTTGGGTTTTTATATGTGTGTATATAATTAAAAAGAAGAATCCTGTCACCTGACACATAAGATAATGAAATCTAGGATTTTGTGAGTTTTAGCATTAAAAGAGAGACCAAAACACTTGTCCATTATATTTAAGGGTTTTTGTTGAAACATTAATAAAGTTTAGCTTTGCTAGTAACTAAAATTTAACTTTATATTTGTAGGTAAAATTCTCTATTCCACAGGAAAAAAGGATCACAGGTTGCTAATGTTGTGCTTCAGCACAGAGTTCAATATGATCCCTAGCTAATGAACTTTTCATTTTTGTTTATGGAAATACACAGAGGTGCAGAGTCTGTATTGGCTTCCCACTACTTCCTCCTAATGATAGTTGGCTATTTTACACAACCCCATCTGTAGGAAAAAGCAGTAAACTATAATAAAAGTGGTTAAATCCGTAGAATCACACCTGAAATACTTCATGCCTTACAGATAGTGCTCTTTAAACCCTTCATTTAGTTCTTAGAGTGAGGCTGCTATTTGGGACACTATTCTAAATCAAACCTTCCATAAGACACTATTTTTGTGTATACCACTCTGCTTCCCAGCTTTAGAACAATTTTATTAGGGAATATTTATATGCTACAATGAAGATTCTGAACACGGGCAAAGTTGTATCTCATTGGGTGTGATTTGTTTTTCTCAATAGACAGATGTTTTCCATCTTAAAGGTTTAG